CAGGGACAGAGCAGCGTGCACCATCACTCTCACACAGTCACACTTGGTGCGTCAGGTCCTTCAGAGGTTCGGCCTTCAGTTCTCCTCCGCGCAGACCACACCTCCGCTAGTAGATCAGAGGCTCTCGACTCCAGTCCCTGAGGAGTCTGTAGAGCCTAGTGGTCCTAGCGCAGAGCTGGTGGGTTGGCTCATGTACCTGATGACTTGCACTCGTCCAGATCTCACATACCCTCTCAGCATCCTGGCTCGCTTTGTGGCCACAAGTAGACACCGATTGCAGCACTGGTCGGCCGCTAAGAGGGTTTTGCGTTATCTAGCAAGTACATCGGGCATGGGGCTAGTGCTAGGAGGACACAGGCCAATGGTCCTTACAGGGCACACAGACGCTTCATGGGCAGACGACGCTGAGACACTCAGGTTGTCCCAGGGCTACTTCTTTAGCCTTGGTGCAGGCGCCGTCTCGTGGCGGTCCACTCGTTCGTCGTCTGATGCCTAGTCTAGCTGTGAGGCTAAGATCTACGCCGGTGCCATGGCGGCACAGGAGTTTCTCTGGCTCACCTTCTTGCTCACAGACTTAGGTGAGCAGCGTAGTTCTGCCCCGGTCCTGTACGCTGACAATAGGGCCATGATCCTCCTGTATCAAGAGCCTCGACTAGAGGGCAGAGCGAAGCACAACGAGCTACGGTACTTCCTCCTACGCGAGCTGCAACAGCGCCGCCAGGCCCGCGTAGTACACTTGGCCTCAGGTTCCAACACTGCTAATACCTTTACAAAGGCGCTTGCGCCTAAATGTCATTAGCGGCACTGTGTACAGCTTGGGCTAGTTCCTATAGCTTCTCATTTGCTAGGATCTTGATTGTGTACTACTTGTATATTATCTTGACTGGCCTTGTGGCCCTTGTCCCGGTGGCTGGACTAGTAGTACCGCCATGGATTGCTCTTGTTTAGTTTGTACTCTTGCTAACTGGTCTTCGGACCCCTGCCTCAGAGGTTGGACTAGTAGTGCCACCCTTAGTTGTGTGTCTCTTGCCAGTCACTGCCCCTCATCTAGCCTAGGGGGTGTGTCAAACATATTTTGTATAGGTCTTATAGGTTAGATAGGTGCGTATTCTGAGAGGGTACAACCCCTTGGACAAAACCAACTTGTTTGCATCATACTATTAATTCTCATTCTAATATATGTCTATGCCGAGGATGATCCACCAAAGCGGTGCATGTTGTCGAGGGTAGATGAAGTGGGTTGGGTGGGCGGGAATCGAGCTTGAACTGGAAAAAAATGAAAAACGTGGGTGGAGGAAGAATTACCTCCATCCCCATTATATAGTTGGAGAAGGGCGAATGGCGCGCTTCGACGATGCCGAAGATTGCATTACAAGCAGCTTCATATTTTCGATACACAATTTTGAAATTGTGAACACTAAAAAAACAACATATTTGTTGCTTTCATTTGGCTGTTGGCTTTGTGTGTTCCTACCCATGGCACCTAATGGTGCCCATACTATTATCCCGTAGTAAGTACTAGGGAGATGTCCAGATTACCTCATGCAAACATTCAGGTGGGTTTCAGAGTACAATTCGGTTGCACATACCATAAACCATTAAAAAAAAAAATTGTACAAAAACACTTTCTAAAAAACTGTATTGTAAAAGCGCAGCTGCTTGTAATGCCGCAAGGGCAATGGCGAAGTGCTCAATGCTCTTCGCCGAGCATAAACATGTGGTAGAGGCCATTTGGCCTCCACCCACGTTTTCATTTCAGAACTTGAAAAAGTTCCACTTCATTCCCGTCCAACTGCAATTTCCTTTCTCGCTCAATTTTTCTTTCGGCTAACTTCCATAGAGAGAAAGAAAGCACTCGAGCCCGACGGTTACCTACTGTGATTTCGACTTCATGAAATTATTTGCCATATCGCTGTCGCGCTATTTTTACGTGCGCAAAATTACCTTTGACAGCCTTGCGTGCGAGGCGCGGGCTGCTGCGCGTGCGAGTCCTGAAGGCGACACGTGCGAGCCATCCACTCTGCCGGCGCGTCTGGAATTCGCGTCGGCTCCCGGGCGGCGTCGACCGGCACCGCCTCGCTAGCTGCCAGCGCGATCGCGTCAGCAGTGAGGAAAGCCTCATCAAAACGATACGCGCCGACTAGCCTGCCCTGACGCATACCTTTTGAACACCATATCGTTCTGTTATTTTTCCTTCTTCTTAATAATATGTTATCTTTGTCAAATTATATATATATATATATTTGTTTAGGCCTAGTAGGTTTGCTATATTCCTGAATCCTACTGTAGAGGAGACAACCCCCCCCCCCCCCCCCCCCCCCCTCTTCTTGTATCTCGTTCTCTTTTAGTCCAACCCTCTTTCCTCTCGTAACTTTCTCCTAGCACCTAAACCCTTACGCCACTTCCATGGCTTCTCTCCTATCCTAGCGTTTTAACATGGTTTCAGAGCAGGAGTTCCTTCCTGCTGGGCCGTCTCATTACGCTTCCGCAACGTTCTCTCCCTCCTCTCCTCACTTCCGCGCCGTCGTGGCAGCCATGACGTGCTGCCATGGCGGCTTCGTAGTGCTGCCGTGGCAGCTGCGTTGCACTGCCGTGGCGGCGTCGTCGTGCAGCCGTGGCAGCGTCGACGTGCTGCCGTGGCAGCGACGCCGCGCCGTGGCAGCGTCGTCGAGCTGCTGTGGCGTCGTCGACGGGTGGAATTGGGCCGCGCAATGTTTTATCTCCGGCCAGCTCGCCCGCACGCCAGCCAGCGCCGTGCCGCCATGGCGCCTCGCTACAGCTTCGCCCCCCCTCCTCTGCATTTCCCTTTCTCCCCGCTGCAGTCGATGGCTGTCTCGCCCCGTGCGGCCGCGTCGTTGCTGAGCCGGGCCACGTCGCCGGGTGCCGCAGTCTCCGTCGCCGCCGTCGAAGCCGCCGCCGATGCCGCAGGTGCCGCTGGCCCTGCCACCACCCGCCGTCGCAGCCGCCGCTGTCGTCGTCCCGTCGTTGACGCCGCCGCCACCGGCACCGCCATCGCTGCCCCGCACGTCGAGAGGTCGACTGAGCTGACGAAGCCACAGCTGCTGCTGGGCTTGGGGGTGCAAGGGTTTTGGGGGTGCTGCATGTGTGGTGTGCTTTCGACTACCATGCCTAGGGGTTGTGTCAAATTATATATTTATATATATATATATATATATATTTGTTTAGGCTTTGTAGGTTTGCTACATTCGTGAATCCTACTGTACAGGGGAAAACCCCCCCTTCTTGTATCTCGTTCTCCTGTAGTCCAACCCTCTTTCCTCTCGTAACTTTCTCCTAGCACCTAAACCCTTACGCCACTTCCATGGCTTTTCTCATATCCTAGCGTTTTAACAATCTTCTCTTGTTTAACACCCTCTCTTCTTCATTTTTTCTTTTCTTCTTTATCTAAAACCCTCGTTGGTGGCAGAAAGTTGTCAACCTCTAAAATCAGGCGCCCTCTCAATGAATTGTTGAGAATAGCCCTAATCCTGCGAAGGTTGCAGAAGTCTGCTGAAGCGGCATATTAACGAAGTCTGCGGACACGAGCCCTCCAGAAAGGCCCATCGACGAAGATCCTATTTGTCGACAAGGCGAGGCTCTGCGGGAAGTGGCAGAGGAGCAGCTTTCGTTGGTGGCAGAAAAGCGGTTCTGTCAGAGTGGCAGAACAAGAGCGCCTTTTCTGCATATGGCTGCTACATCGAAATTTTCTTTTGTAGAAGTGGTCTCGGCAGAATCGAGAGTGTAGAAGACCCTCTGTCGAATTGGCACCAGGGACCATTCGCAGAAGGGTTGTCATCTGCAGAAGTATCGAGCAGAAGACATTTCTGCAGGTGACCCTCTCGGCAGAAACGACTCTCGGAAATGCGTTCCAACAGGACCTCGGGCAGAGTGGCGCAAGAACCTGCTCGCGCAGAATTGCGTTCTGCGGGAGTTCGGCAGAAAGGCAATTCGGCCATCTCTTCTGTTGTCGACCCTCTCGGCAGAGATGAAATTCGGCAGAAGCGCGGCAGAGAGTCATCTCGGACTTCACTTCTGCGAGCGACCCATTCGACAGAAAAACGGGGACTTAGTTTTTCTGATGAAGGTGCCGTTCCGAAATCGCGAGAAAATTGTGTTTTCGTAAGTTAACCACAAAACCGATCTGAACCGGAAAAAACGGCAAAATCTACCTCTGGCAATGAGAAATTGGGCACGTGACGCACATTTCGTAACTGAGGAAATGTGCGTAAGATCTGACCGTTTCGTATCTGAGACTGTTAAAACAACAACTTCTAAGTGGGTAAAATTTACCAACTAAGCATGTGCTGTAATTTTCACCTGCCATTGCTGACTTGACTAAGCGCAGCTTAGAGTAGTTATGTAAACGTTCTCATGCGTGTTGTGATATAATTGATACTTAGGTCTTTTTCACTATTGACTTATGATTACTCACAAGTTCACGTACTCAGGTTATTCAACCTTGACCTTTATATTTTACAAGACTTCCGCTGTCTTACTAGTCTACCATTCCAGCAAAGATCCTGGACCAACACTTGAGGATTTGCCAAGTGTTCGTGTTTATAGTTTTATACTTAGTCTACTACAACACCTGTCGATTTATTTCATGGTATGAGAGCTATCTGGAATTAAGACTATCGTCAACTATGACTGGTTGAACACCAGCACCATCTGCTGGATCAGTTACTGGGACTACTGGAGCACATGCCTCCACTACCGCCGCTGGTCTCTCAGCCTCTGGGCATTTTCCACCAGCCTATGCTAATATCGGTATGCAACAGAATCCGCCTTCTGTGAATACTCCAGGTGCTCCATCGACTGCACCTGCAATGCAACAGCAACAATCACAGACAACAGCACAGCAACAAGCATCAGTACAGCCACCAGTTTCAACGCAATCAATTTCATCTGCGTTCAGTGGAATGAGCCTTGGCGGCTCAAGTTAGATGCGTGGAGCTACAGCTCCAAGTACTGGTTCGTTCGCTTTCTCACCTTTCGTACAGCAGCCGCAGTCGCAGCAGTTTCAGCATCCTTTCTATATCTTCGGTCGTTCCCCTGCTCAGCAACAACAACAGCAGTATCAGCAACCACAACAAGTACAGCAACAGCAGCAACAGCAACAGCAACAACAGCAATAGCAACAACAACAGCAACAACAGCAACAGCCAGGCATTGTTTTTCAGCCTCCAAATTTACTTAATAATACTCAGATCAAGACAACCGTACCTTTTAATGGTGTTGACTTCTACTCCTGGAGCTTTGAGTTTGAGCTTCTGGCGCAGTCCGCTGGGCTATGGCCGTTCTTCACTGGCGAGTTTACGTATCCTGTCGTGGGAACACAACTGGAGCAGCAGAGTTTCTTGCACGCCTCTCTCGGGGCGTTACAGTTCTTGTACGGAACTTGTCGCCAAAGGAGCAGCTCGGCGTCCGATCGTTTCACTCAAGTTTCACACCAGCCGAAACTGCATGGAACCATCTGAAAGGGGTATACATGGCAAAGGATACGATAACAGTGAGTAAAATACTTTCGCAGCTGACAAGTGTGCAGATGATGACAAACGAAAACGTCAAGGACTACGTTAACCGTGTCCGTACACTACGCGATCAACTGGAGAAAAGTGGGGGATACTTCCCTCGTGAGATGTATCTCACGATCCTTCTGGCTGGTCTTGGACCCGAATGGCGACAGACGCGCGCCTTCCTGCGCATGAATCCCAACCTCTCCGAAGCTGAAATTTCTTCTTATCTTCAAGCAGAGCAGCAAGATCTTGACCTGCAGTCACAACGCAACCAGAAAAGGGGGGTTCATTTAAGTTTCTACTCCAATCCAGAAACACAGCATCGACATCCACCGAAGTATCCGTTCTGCCATTTCTGTAAGAAACAACGACATACTTACCAAAACTGTCGCAGCCGTCATCAAAATCGTCGCAATACTTCGCAGCCGTATCAACGATCGCAGCAGTTACCGAAGACACAACAGCCACAGCAGCAGTTAACGTCTCAGCAGCAGCAGATGCCGAAACCGCCGCAGAATCCATCGACGTCGCAGCATCGTCTGCCGGTTTTCGCATCTGCCACATCAGGAAAAGGGGTTTTTGGCTGCGTCACCACAGTTGATGTTTCAAAAACAGATTTCGAAACACGACTTGAAGAAACAACAAGTGCTGAAGGCATTCCTTTACCTCAAGTTTACGCTAACCTCGCTCGTATAATTTCAGGTCCGAATACCTGGTATCTCGACAGTTGCTGCGGATGGCACATGTGCTCAGCAGAAACAAGCTTCATCACTAATCAGCGTCCATTTCGTCGTCTGATACCTGTCACAGTTGCAAACGGACAAACCATTATGGCACGATCAGTTGGCAGTGTCATGCTCGAATCTATCGACACGGGATACTCACTTCATGTTACGAATGTTCTTATCGTCGCCGGTCTTGGCTTCAACCTTCTTTCCACGGCTCAACTCCTGGCACACAAAATCCGTACACAAGGAAATTGTGAGACGATGGATTAAGAGCTCTGGCATAGTACAACTACTACCTACCTTGGTCGTGCCGCCACTCAACATGGCGTGTCGGTACTTCAGTTCGCAGCACAGGGAACTTCTGGCAATTCTGAACGCGTCCTTGCACTTGGTCCCTGGGATCACCCAGAAGAAACAGATTATCAACATGTGGACATTGACTTCCGAGCAACTACAGTACCAACAGCTTCTCGAACAGCAGCCACCGTACTTACCGCGTTGGATACCTGGGAGTTTAATACCGCCGATGAAAGCGCCACCGCGTGGCGAACGTTTTATAACACCCGTGCAGCCTTCCAAGGAACTCCAGCACCACTTTGGGGAGAGATAAGTGGTCTTGCAGCTGATGAACCTGACGTCGTTAAAGAAGCAGAACAGGAAGCAGTAGCTGAGCAGCCGAGTCCAACAGTAGCTGTCGCCGAAACACCTGCCGCGACATCAACAGAAGCAGCATCACAAGTTGCAATCACCACTGTAGCCGCACCAACGCCTGTTTCATTACCACTTACACGTTTCGTTGAAGGAGATGTTGACCGCTCACCAGCACTTTCTCCTTTCATTCTTTCTTCCTTTTATACTAACTCCGATTTCTACCTGCGATCATCAGGACACAAAGCCACAGAAGATATCTGGCATCAGCGGTTAGGACATCCATCACAAGGGATTCTTAATCATTCAATCCGAGCAGCAGTTCTTGATAAAAATAGTTACTTTTACCTGATGGCACGGAGATGAAGCCGCATTCTCGTCCTACGGTTTGCACCACGTGCCCAGTTGCCAACCTTACGCACGATCCGTTTCCAAGTCATTTTCCCGGCTCAACCTGTTATAAACTGATGCAGAAAGTCTACAGCGACATACTCAACTTGTCTGAAGCAGGACCTAAAGACGAGAAGTATGTGATAACCTTCATCGAAGCGTCTACACGCTATGTTTGGACAGCCAACTTACCTGCGCGCCATCTCGCTCACTCCGTCTTCGTCGCATGGCTCGCTGTCGCTGAACGAGAGTCTGGCGTGAAACTGCAAGAATTTCAGAGCGATGGTGTAGGGGAGTACACCAGCAACACTTTCACAGACTACCTTCAGACACTCGGCATCAAATGGAAGCAGTCTCTGCCGCATGCACACCAACAAATGGGGGTAGCAGTTTGGTTGAACAGGACTCTGCAGGAGAAGATGCGTGCTCTGCTGACGCAGGCAGCACTTCCACCGCGTTTTTGGCCGTATGCGATGGACCACGCCGTGCTGTTACACAATCTCCTTTCTTCAAAGTCCCTGCCCGAGTTTTCCACTCCGCACCTGCAGTGGACACGTACAGTTGGAAGCACAACACTTTTACGAGTTTTCGGGTGTGTTGTCCAGCTTCGTCCTCCAACCGCAGCACTCGGAAAATTTTCCGAACGAGCAAAATGGGGGGTACATATCGGCATCGAAAAACAATATCACGCGTGGAAGATTTTGGATCTCCGGTCCAACCAAATCGTTCCATCACGTGATTGTCTCTTCTATGAACGACTCACCTTGCCTGTTTTTAGTGCCCACCAGGCAGCAGCTGCCAACCCTGCCAGACTGTTCGAAGGCTCGCGTGCATTTGCAACTGACGAAGCTGAAGCAGATGTACAGGACGAGGATGTTTCTGAAGCTTCCGAAGCTGCCACAACAGACATTCCCGAACCTGTCACATCGACCGGCATACCTGAATTCATTCCTCTTGCAGATGCTGACGAGGATGATGTTCGCGAAGTTCATCTCAGTTATGAACGCGATCGCCAACAACAGCCGGTGCCCGTCATCTCCGACGAAGCAGTTCGTGTTACACCTGACGAAATTGGGGGGGAAGAAGGACCAGAAGAAAATTTCGCAGGTGCAAATGAAGAACGTCCGCGTTTTACAGAAACAGGATTGCAGATACTGGGATTTGCAGTAGCAATACAGTGCAACGACAGTAAGATACCTGAACCGAAAACCGTCCGACAAGCTCTTACGAGTCCTCACCGAGAAAAATGGCGCGAAGCCATGGACAAGGAGCTAGCAGCACTCAAGAATCGTGGTACATGGGATTTAATACCGACTTCAGAGGTCAAAGGGAAGAAGGTACTTACAGGAAAATGGGTCTTCCGCGTCGAGACTAATGCAGATGGGTCATTTGAAAAGTTCAAAGCACGATGGGTCGTCCGCGGATTCGAGCAGACTTACGGCATCGACTATGAACTAACCTTTGCTCCTGTCGGCCGACATACAAGTGTTCGGATTCTGCTTTGTGCCGCCGCCTGCCGTAATCTCCGACTTCGACAAATCGACGTCTCGAATGCGTTTCTCTACGCCCCTGTCGACGCACTTATCCTGGTAGAGTACCCGCATTCTTATACTACTAACCCACTGAGCGTTTGCCGTCTACGAAAGTCCCTGTACGGCATTAAACAGGCACCACGGCTCTGGCAGCAGTATCTTCACTCGCAGCTGATCATTGCTGGATTTCGACAGTTACCGCATGATCAGGGAATGTATCTACTGACCGACGGCAGCAACTACATTTTACTCGTTGCCTACGTCGACAACATCCTATTCGTCAGTACTACCGATTCCCTCGCTGATATCTTCATACTGAAACTACAGAAAAATCTACAGATTACCGTCTCCGCAACAATCTCACAGTTTCTTGGTCTGAACATTACCTGTTCACCAACGACTATTCATCTCACCGCTTCTAAGTATGCAGCAACACTCGCTGCCCGCTTCAACTTCACACCTACTGCAGTCTCTACACCGTACCGCTCACTACCGACTGACCACAAACCGAACACCGCACTGTTAACTTCAACCGGTTTACAGATCTATCAACAGCAGCTAGGCTGTTTACTCTTCGCCGTTGTCACCTGTCGTCCTGATCTAGCCTACGCGGCCAGTCAGCTCGCTCAGTTCCGACGCCGTCTTCAGGAAGAGCATCAGCTTGATCTTCTCCGCGCGCTTCAGTATTTTATCTCGACACCTGACGTCGGTCTAGTCTACAACGTCATCGGTTGTAAAACACTCTACCTACATGGTTTTGTCGACGCCGATCACGCTGCTGATTCTACTAATCGACGGTCGCGCACTGGGTTCATCTATCGACTGGAACCTATCGGACCTATCTCTTGGAATTCTACGAAGCAGGAGCTGATTGCACTCTCCTCTGCTGAAGCTGAGTTTATTGCTGTCTGCACAGCAACACGTGAAGGACTTTAATTTCAGGAACTATTGGAAGAAGCGAAGTTGACGACAACTACCCAGTTTACCTTACAGTGCGACAATCAAAGTGCAATTCGCATTGCACATCAACCTGGTTTCATCAACAGGACAAAGCATATTTCGCTTCGTTATTTTTTCGTCAAAGTTGAAGTCGATAAGGGGAGGATGCGATTGGTCTACTGTTCGACCAACGAAATGGCTGCCGATTTTCTCACGAAGAAACTGACACGACAGAAGTTTCAGTACTGTAACAAGCTCTGCGGAATCTTCAAGAAGTGACACTATCGGACTTCCAGAAATGAAGGGGAGTGTTGTGATATAATTGATACTTAGCATTTCTGTAAGTCGATTAGTTGTAGATAGTGTCGAATCTTACTGTAGAAGATAAGTCCGTAGGATGACGTTGGCAAATAGCGCT